GCATTTTTGGCTTTGGGACAGAGTATATTGCTAACAGGCCAAAGGACATTTTGACTTTTAGCCAAGAAACTGGCTACTTTTCTTTGGGGTCTTTTTACCCTAATTGCCTAGCTAATTCCTACCTGCGACTCTTACACCATCCTCTGAAGAGATTACCCAAATTGCCAAAAGGGAATTGTGATGCAGACCGTTCTGGCTTCTTCCATGCTGAACAGGGATGCAGGGTGAGGCAACTGGGGTACCCCTTCAGTGGGTCGATCTAAGAAACTCTCAAATTGTATAATTCTTATCTATAGAGGGAAAAGAAAGTCCTTAACTGGTGAATAGGAGATGTGAAGGAGAAGTAAGGGCAAGAGTAGTTAGCATTACAAGTTCTAGACAGGGAACTAGAAAAAAGTCAGAACAGGGCAATTTTCAAATGTTCATATGAGAGTCTATGGTTCACGTGGGGATCTCAGGCACCGGTCCCCTGCGCGCGCCCTGGAAGCGGCGGCGGGAGAGACGTGGCGCAGGTCGCGCACGTCTGCCATTTGGGTCCTGGATCTCCGCTCTTCTGGCAGGTCCCACAGTGCGTCTGCTCTGCATTGCTGGCTCTCTGCTTTTCCGCCACTTCTCTGTGTCTTTGTGGGTCTCTGCTTCCGGGGCTTGCCCGGCCGGTTTCCGCCCTAATTTCACCCGTGCACTTCCTCAAGATGCAAAATCCACTGGCCGCTGGATCACGCGGGAAGGTGTGGGGGCGGCTAAAGCTAGAATTCTGTGAGTCGATGACAGAAGGATACTGCCCCCTGGGGAGACTGGATCACATTGGCCACCCTGGCCAACAACTCAAAAGATTAAAGGAGCCAATATAATTTCATAAGAGTTCATATGTATAGCTAAAGGCTACATAACAAGCAACAATGCCAGTCAGGCCATACCTCCTATTCTTATCACGCCATCCTCTGAAGAGGTTACCTAACTTGCGGATAGGGAATCAGGTTGCAGACTGCTCTGGCTTCTTCCATGCTGAACAGGGATGCAACGTGAGGCAGTTGGGGTACCCCTTCAGTGGGTCTATCTAAAAGACTTCCAAATTGCATAACTCTTATCTCTAGGGGGAAAGAAAGTCCTTGACTGGTGAATAGGAGATGTGAAGGAGAAGTAAAAACAAGAGTAATTAGCATTACAAGTTCTAGACAAGGAACCAGAAAAAAGTCAGAACAGGGCAAATTTCAAATGCTCATATCAGAGTCCATTGGGATTTCTTACGAGAGCTTCCAAAAGCATCCCTCTGTTGGGTTCCTCCTCATTTTTCTTTCATCTGCCAAGGCTGGACTCGAGAGTGATGGACTCAGGATTTCTTTTCAGGCTCTTTGATAGCTGTTAGATAATTTTTAAAATGAGAAAGGCTATTGATTATTTATTAGGCACCATGCATCTGCATTTACAGATGTTTATGCATGTGCTTTGTGCCTCACATCACACAGTGGCCTTTCGTGGGGATATATATATATTGCTATTTCCGTTACAGGCTAAA